GTTATCGTGTTCAGACCTTTAGTTAGATTTTGGGTTGGATTCAAATGGGGATTGTGGCTACACAGACTGCACATTGTCCAACCGAGAACACTCGTATGCAGGATCCACTTCGTTTCAGCATATATATATATATATATATATATATATATATATATAATGTTCACATAACTCTCCTTTGCGCAATCTTCCCTCTGTCGTGACGCAGTTACTCTGGGGATTCTACACCAAAAAAGGGAACACCGAACTCAAATTCCGCGCAGATTAAAGCTCATCATCCTCGTTCGAGGCGTCACCCAAGCGTGAACAAGTTCGCCTATCCAAACGCGATAATCCAGGTCCGTCGCTGAAATTATGATGACGCGGTCAGCTCGCATGTGACCCGTGACTCCTAATCTTGACACGATCAAATATCCCCACTGCTGATGAGGCGAAAGCGTGTCCTGTGTGGACCCACCAGATTAACTGCACCAGAACAAGAGAGGGGCTGTTCGAACAGGCATGATTTGCTTACCTTTCTTCACCTAACTAAGCTAAAGCCACCGCTCTAACTAATCTGGTCCGATCGTCTACTCCTTTCACCGGGGTCGACTGATGGATGCTGTATGATTTTATTATTTCTGTGGTCTTTCAAACGGACCTGCTTCACGAAGACATCTTTTGCGCAAGGCTAGCTGCATTCCAATCTATGCCTTGTTTACAACCACATCAAAATAAGTCGGTGCACATCTAAGAAACACGCGTTCTTTGTTAAAGAGCCACAGTAGCTCCGATAGGATTGGGCCGTCACTTTCTGTGTTCTAACCAATGGACGTCCTGTTGATTTGAAACACACGTTTACTAGGTATTTCACTCTTGTGAACTGAACGTACGTAATCAGCTGTGCATAACAGCCACATCCATCCGGTCACCAGTACCGAGCATCTCGTGTTTCCGACCAACACATATGTGAGCGGACCACGTGTCCATGTTGTCACTAGATGTGTCTTTCCGTAGCGGATCTGGACTCATCCACACAGCTGAATGAACGGTCTGCTTAGTTCCTTTAACCCTATGCTAAACTTTCCATCGTTTTTTTATATAGATATCCTTGAAACATTGGATGATTTCAGTAATCTCATCTGAACTGCTTTGCTGTCAGGTTACTACCCGAACTACGGATAACCAACACTTAGTCCATGAGTTGTTCTGTTACAACCCACCCTTCGTGATCTCGCTGTTCGTGTACCTCTATAAAAATGAATTGTTCATCCTAGCTGAGGCATATAATAGAGCTTCAAAACGCTGAGCATGTAGACTAGCAATCGGTTGGGAACGAATTACTTGGACGCAACTAGGTTCGACCTCAGGTTACAAACGAACAAAACTACATGGAAATGAGTGCAGTTATCCGGAACTTGATCAATGTCTTTTCCTTCCGTTTCATAGCTCCAGTCCATGGTGTAGCTGTTTGATATGCCCCAAAATTCTACCCTACTGGGTTTTATCGATCAAACCCAATTAAGTCGAATCCAGCTCCTGTCACGGGGTACTGCAATGACGTTGTCCACTTTATCTTACAAGCGACCCATGATTACCAGGGGTCTTCTTTTCCACATTATATATTAGTACTAGATTGAGGTTTTCTTTATGCAGTTCCATGCGGTTGGATATTGTGTTAATTTACTGATTAGAGATATCCGAAGAACTAACCGTGCTTGTGACTCACACCAAACAGCTAACGTGCTAGTCGGTGCTTGTATTATGCCGTATTCCTGTTTGATTATTTCGTTTTTGGCAATGTGCTGACAGGTTTATAGCCTAGATGCTAGATGATGTTCTTATATTGATGCTTTCTGGATTGTTCGTGATTTTCGAAACGTTTTCTATTCACCCTGGAAAATGATCGTATTATGTTGTATACTGACGAGCTTAGATGTCGAACACAGATGTCTGGTTTTCTGGCCACACCCATTGAGAGCGTCACTGACCGTAGTATTGCGACTGAAAAAATGAAATAAAAAAGCAGAGCAGGTCAGCACTAACCAACTTTGAATGGTCGAAATGCCTACACCACAGAAGCATTTTGCTAACTGTATCTTGCAGTGTCTCCAGGATTACTCCAATGAATCGCACACCGATAGATGGATTGTGCCAACAGCACCTGCATTTTGTAGTCTACCCTGTTCCCGTCCGCCAAGTTAGGGTTTGTCCTCCACTCCAAAGTTGTCAGAGAACCTTCTTGGTAGACTAAAATTTGGTCTGACCATATCAGCTATGTTGTTGCTCTGTCGGTGGTCAAAAATCTGTTGGCTGTGACAGGAGTCACGTCTTGCATCCTTGGATTAACTCAGCCCATTCTGTAGTCGCATACATGTGACCTCTGATATTCAATACTGTGTTTTGTTGAAGCCGCACGTGGCACATGTTAGCGAGCGAAGTTTTGTTAGTTGAAATTCAGATTTCATTTTTCACGTTGATTGACGCATGTTTGTCCACCTGTTACCATTATTGACGCTATGTTTATGTCTGCTTCCTGGATGTTGAAACGTGTCTCGGTTTCTTCTGAAGCTCGCCAATACCATCATTAAGCTTAACGTTCAAGTCAAGTGATCAGGTCTCATCGTCTCCCCCCTCGCCGTAATAGACCTTGTTTTTCATACATGGTTCACGCTGTCACTTCAGCACCGGATGTAAAAGCTAATGCCGTTCAACAGTTGCCTTTGATGGCGTTGACCAGCTTTTCACCGACAAATGCAATAAACAGAGCCCGCCCATGCTAATTGAAAGTCAGTAAAATCCACACACGTGACGGCCGATTCTCTCTTCTCCGTCCCGTGCAAGTACGCTGAGAGGTGGCGTTGGCTTAGAGCTGCGCTTAGAACTCACAGTCATGAGCGATGCTGGATAGTGCTGGTTAGATGAATGGCTTTTCACTTCAACTCTCACCGCATGCCGATACCTTATCTTTTCTCTCACTTCCGGTCAAAGTTATGACGATCCATTCACTAGCACAAACAAGGACGCATCCCCACCCAATTACGCACAAATTACGTCACTTAGATCGTTGTCGTAACGTTTGTAACAAAATTGTCAGTGCCGGGTGCCAGCCGTTGACCCCTTTTTTTAATGTCTCCTCCCACCCCCCAAGAAATTTGCGGTGAAATATCTAGGCGTAACCGCTTCGAATAACTTCCTTACAGACCATACTTTTAGAACCCTTGCTGCTTCATTGGCAGACCATAGCTGTCATCTGTAAGTACAGTTGGTAGGCCCGTATAGCGTGCGAAACACCGTTAAGGCCATGGCTTCTTGATATAATCTGTTCCCATTCATCCTAGAGGCTTCAGGCCTTCCACATATGCGATTCATCGTACATGTTTGTTAAATTCGATTCGTTATGCACGTCTTGTTGCGTTCTTAGAAGAATGCAAAACGTCATCAGGGCTAGAACGAGCGAAGTACAGAAACCACCACATGCAATATCTTCTAATCACTCGTAATCGAAGGACAGAAATTTTATGCATTGTTATTTTTTCGGAGTCTTATCTTCCCACGAATCCTCTACTTGCCTCCTTGGTACTGAAGAGTTTGTTTTATGCATGCCTCATCATACTTCACGTGCTCCTTGGTGAGTTGATGTCCTCGATTTTGTGTGCAGTACAGTCTGGGAATAGGCTGGAAGAAAGTCAGTGGTTTTGTTAACAACAGATTAAAGCGTTTCCTTATCGTAACATCGTTTTTGCTACCTGTCCTTCACATCAAAACGGAAAGAGATAACAGTGGAGTGCCTTAGTCTAGTAGCTAACTACGATTTTCCCGTCTGCTCAGACCACATCTACTGCTGAAGCATAGTCCCAATGAAGATCCTTTGTCGACGGATCGGCTACTGTGGATCTCGCACACCGGCAAATACAACCTTGTTAACCGCTCAGGTCGCACTATGTCATCTTTGAACATATCGTTCATTACTTGGTACTAGGATCTTCTGCTCTCTCTTGGGCTTTGCTTGTCGCATATGCATTCCAGTCGGTCGGTGGACATTTTTTCATTGTTTTTGCAATGCAGACAATCTTGGGTCACGTGTCGCTCTCTTCCACCACCAATGAATCGGAATCCTGTAGTCGTTGTTCATTTGAGCGATTTAAAATGAAACCACAATTGGTTTAAATTGGATCAGTCTTGTCTTGACAATCTTTTCACCAAAATCCTGTGAGAAAGCACCGTACATGAGCTGAAGTTCTGTTAGGCGCTCTGCAAGGGGAACTCAATGGCGCAAAAGTTAGAGACGAAAGAAGTCACCTTTCATGAGGATTTGTTTAGGATAAATCGATCGACCTATTCTTGTTCTTGATGATCTCATTTCGTACTGACAAGGTATACCTGCCTACTTTATTTCATCATGGATATAGCTTCTGACCAGACTGTACGCACAAGTTATAGTTCAGTTTTGTTGCAACGGACCAGGCCGTACACTACGTTGTTTTATTTTTTCACGCAGTATTTCCGCGTGATAGTTATCTTACCGTATATTCAGTGGTTCTCAAGAATATTTGAACTATGATCGAAATCAAGTCATCCACACATGCGCACACCACATTCCACAGAAACCAACTCATCCATCCAGACAAACGGGCTTCTCCTGGCTGCCCAGTTTTATCCTGCATTTTGTTCTCTCGAATTCTATGCAGTCCATATCTTATTAAAACCAAGTGCTTCTGTCTTTCAGGATCTATCGAATCTGTTTTCTTTGGTTGGCATGGCAGCTAGGCACCGAAAAGGTCTTAAAGCTGAACGGTTCGATGATCGGCTTAATGGACGTTGTCAGTACGGTGTGGAATGAATTACTAGGTGGGCATTTCTGTTTACAGCCTTTAGTTTCTGGTTTGGGCAGGTGAACCTTACTGGTTTGTGATCGATTTCGAAAAAATTCTTAGAAAAGCTTCGCAAAGTTCACTACCAACTTCGACATCCGTTGCTTTGAGTGTGTTCACCTTCTTTGATCTATCTTCTCATTACCGTAGGTTGGCCAAAAACATTCCGGTTTCTTCGGCTTGGCCGAAAAAATCATCTCCGCGGCCGTCCCTGCCGTGTGGTTTGATCGAGATGAAGTGTTGGACAGGCAACGTACTGCGGCCCGTCTAAAAGAACACGTCATGAGTCCAAACGCCGAACCCCTGCTCATCTTTCCTGAGGGAACTTGTATCAACAACACGTCTGTTATGAAGTTCAAAAAGGGCTGTTTTGAGGTTGGTGCGCCGATTCATCCTGTCGCGATCAAGGTACGTCGCTTTTTTCGAAAGTTTTTCAGGTGAGACAGACTGTCCAACCAGCCGGAATCTCCAGGCAGAAGAATATACGTATGCTCAAGGTGTCTATACCACCAGTCAGTGCTACCACTCATAAGCCAGAGACTGGAACGAACTTCCACGATTTTGGTTAAAATGTCTATGGTTTGCTAGTCAAACATGCAAAACTATACCGTTGAAGCTCGCCTCCACAGTAGAAGCCATGCCTAACGAACGCAAAATGGGCTTCATATGATCGGTAGCAGATTTTCAGGCAAATTAATTACTTTGGACAGGTGGTTTGTCACACCGAATTTTTCGTTCCAGTGCATGCACGATGTTCCTTCCCAGCATGCAAAAGCTACCATCTTAATGAATTAAGGTGATGAAAATGCCAGATTTGGGCCTTTAGACTTGAACTGTGGGAACACTCGGGTTAACTCATCTGTGGATCCGTCTAATGGGGGCGAGATGGCTCAGTGTTTAGAGCGGGAATGTACTGATCGGAAGGTCCGTGGTTCGAACCCGGTCTCTGCATCTCGACTTCTGTCTAGGCTTGGGCAACCTGGCAGTATCCTAGCCGTCGTGCTTCCTTCGGATGGCATGGTAGTTAGACACCGAAAGGGTGTATTACTGCGACTCATTTGGCGCATTCTGCCACTCACATGTATGCTTTTCTTTTATCGGGAAACAATAGCCTGCAAGTAGGTACAATGTATATAAGTACGTCACGTCACCAGCTGTTACCACAACCCGTCTCAGCGGTCACCGCGCTGAGCCTCAGGCCGGACTCTGTGAGTCTTTTACGATCCTGTTGGTCTTCTCTTTTCATGACACCCTGTCTGTTTTTTGTAACCATGGACAACTGAAATCGGCTCCGCGGTGGTCGCATGCCGCAGCTATTGCGATTCAATTCCTGACACTAGGGATTTTTATGGGCCATGTGAATGCGTATGTATAGGGACGGAAAATAAGACCGTTCATAGACGTCAAACTACCTTATCGCCATGGCCAATTTTCATGCCTGAGTGCAGTCCACTACGGACGATGTAACGTTGTGTCAGCGTCCTTCTCGATAGTGGCTCCCTACAGGAATATCAGATGGGAATTAACGACTTTTACAAGGTGTTATACATAAATACCCGTACAACCACGTGATTGGTGCACTGGACATACACGAACGTGAAAAAATAGTGCACTTGAAATAACCGATGGTTGGGACCTCTGTTATTAGTAAGTGTATTGATGTTTTACGTGTTCTAAAACGGTACATGTGTATAATGGCTGCTTGGTCGTCTCATCAGAACAACCTGTTGAACCAATATATGTGACGCCAGTGCAATGGAGTTTATGTCAGCAGACGTAAATCAGTTTGTGTCTGGAGATTGCACTGCTTACGATGAGGTTATCAGCTGTTATCATCCGCCCAATTATAATGGACGTCGCGTAGCGACGTAACAGCTTCATTCTTCTCAAAACAGTGACAATTTTTATGTTCGGCGTTATTTTCGGCTCAAATTTTCACTGATTTGGACATTCATTTATCTAAGGTTACGTTTTTTCTTCTTTTGAACCGCTGCCAGTTTTCAAAACTGATGGACAGAAAAACTTCCATCGAATCAATATCCACTGATGGTTGTTATTTTTGGTGTCTTATTTCGTGGTATTGTAGTTAGCCGATTGAGTACTCGTCAGTTCACCCGTTGCCACTTTACCTTCGTGTTAACGTAAATATCCTTCGCTGACATTGCACTGATCGTGTGTCCTGCGTCTAGGCACACCATCTCCCAAGTGATTCTGGATGGCTAGCCAAGTTTTTGCCACAGAAGGTGGCGTATATGATGCCCACTGAGTCCTCTGCGGAAAACAATCTTTGGCACACGTCGATCCTATCCGCCCTGGAGCAACAGCAAACCGCAACAAGCACATTGCCAGAACCTATGATTAGTGGAGTTCCCTTTGACTTTATACTTTGTCTTACGAACTCACTCTGTCAGTCGTGGCACCACCCTATCTCATAATCATCTCGATCTCCTCATTCCTTTCCCATATCCTGCCAGTACAATCCTTTGTTTGCTGACTGCTTCTGGAACAGTAGCCGTGATAGCCTTCTACAATATACGTTCAAAATCATGAGTTCATGGGCCATGGTTGTCGACGTGTGGTATCTGCCACCTACTCGGATGCGCGATGACGAAGATGGCATAATGTTTGCTGGCCGTGTGCAACAAAGTATAGCAAACTGCGGTGGACTGCTGAATATGAACTGGTACGTGTCGCCCCTGATCTTGTTTTTATTCATTGTGCTATTTAGATACCTTGCCCGACTGCCGTTTTCATACCAAAGGTACCTCCCTGAAAAACTGAATTCGTAGAGGAACTTCTTTCTACCAAAGTTTCTTGTGGTTCACCATTGTTGAACGCCGTTTTTTGTCACCAGTGATGTTGATTTTGCGCCCTATTACACATTTTATGTCTGCCGTTGATTGGGACAGTTTGTGCTGTTTGAATTGTGACAAACTTGATTTTTCCTCCCAACAACTCTAATCCGTCCAAGAAAGATCCTTGTGGAAAGAGTACCTCTCCAGCTAAAATAGTCTGTCTGGGAATAGCGTGCGATTGTGGTCATATCCTCCCCATCTTCGTCACGCAACTCAGTATCAGTATATGAAATGAAAAATAAATAAGTAAATCGTCCAGCTATAGCATCCTTTCGGTGCCTAGCTGCCATGCCACCCGAAGGAAGCAAGAGGACTGGGATACTGCCAGGTTTTCCAAGCCTAGACAGGGGAAGTCGAAAGACACAGAATATGCAAGCAACTCGCCGTTCTGAAACTATGACGAAGCCTGAAGTAGTTAAAACATATTCCAAAAGTGCCTATACGTGAAATTTACCGAATCCTAAATCCCTCTCAATTTCTTGTTAAATGTCCTAGAAATTTGGCACCAAACTTCTCTCCAGCAATATGCAAACTGCCTTTTTTACCATAAATTTGAACTATCACGAAATAATGGGACCCACCTAGTTCGCCACCCAAAAATAAGTCGGAAGTACTGCTGTATTGCTGAGCATTCGTAGACCTAACGACCACTGCAAAAGCTCAGAAAACCCAATCAACATTGCTGCTGAAGTAAACTGTATGCGGAGAGCAATTAAAGAGATATCAACTGAATTAGTGTATAACTTTCAGTTGACATGTAGTATATGTCAGTATATAGCCCTTGAGATGCTTTCGTTGTACCAGCATAAACCGACACACCTTTTAAGCAGCCTGATTAAGTTAATGAACACAAAGTTGGACATAAGCTCTATTAGGTCGTGTGCTTCTTATGTTTTTGCTTTCTTGGTTGGTAATGGTGTGTTGTGGTCCCTCAATTTCTACACTGATCCCTTGGCCCGCTTGCCTCACCCTGTAGTACAGAAAAAATGTACAGTGGCTTAAGACAGCGTTTGCGGCAAAACGTTGAAAAATACTGGACAAATTCATTGAGTCACGTTGGACGATGGCATTGCTGACGCAGTGAAGGTCAACTGCGTGTTTTTAGCACCCCCACCACTCCCGGTTAGAAGTGGTAGTAGGTGGGGACTTCATTGTTTCTCTAAATAAACTGTTACTTTTTCTTTTCAGGGACGGTGAACTCAAACGGCAAAGGCCAAAGGACACGCTGAAGCTAGCACAGCAGTTGTTCATCAGTCGGTATCTAGTCCCACAGGAAGAAGATAAGAAAGATACTTGATAGCCGCCAATCAGATATCAAATCACCTTTAGTTTTCTTATCCAGAAGCCCAACCATTCCTACTCTGTCCACTCACTCCTTTACGAAGATTTCCTATGGATTGTTTTTTTCGTGAAGCTATCATCACATGCTGCCATAAACAGCTCTGGGTCCATTCTGATAGATTTTTTCTAGCTGTTTTTCTCTCATCTAGCTTTCGCTCTTTGCACGCGTCTACTGTCTGCATCCCTGATTTGGGCATCTCCATTTTACAATACCTGGGTTCGGTTTCAAAGTCTTTCCTACGCAACATCAACAATGAGTCTCTTACCTTGCCGATTTCCCGTGTATTCTATTTATCTGTGTTTATTATTACTCTGTTGTCACTGCAATCAACTGATTCGGTTTTTAGTGGGTTTTTAGTGTACACAGTTGGGTGATTTGGTCTCGTTGTTTCACTTCATCCTAATTCAAACTGTCGGAAGTAAAGTAAACGATGAGGTTTGTACGGACCTCGAAGAAGGACTATCCCTGAATAGGGAATTCTTTTTGGTGTGGCTTTTTAGGGGAGCATCCGATCGTGGCTCACGGGGGACACCGTTGTTTTCTCTCCCCGAATAGAGTGTATTGGGATGAATATTCATTAATTCCTGCCAACAAGAACAACCAACAGGGGACGGCCGAAATAGACTTCATTTAGTTGAGGTTATCTACCAAAACCCGTTCAGCGAAACACCGAAGCCAATGGAGTAGTGTAGTGGACCTTCATTAAAGTTCTCCAGTACAAAAATCATTGCCCCTTTATAAAACCATCTGAAACGGTATCACAGGCCCTCGTTTGGAGTGGATCTGGTGTAACTGTGAAGCACTTCATTTCCCACATGCCTTTCAGCATAGAAATGTCGGTCGAAATTTCCGATCTCACAGTCATCAACCGTTAGTAGTCTGTTCACGAAGGAAGAGCTCTCACAAGTAGCTCCAGTCTTCCGTGTGAGAATCGATCAATCGAGGGGCCAATCAACACGTGACTTCGTTATATGAGGATGAAGACGTTATACTCTGTCTAGATGCGAGTTGGGCCGCTGATCAGCCAATCCTAGTCGAACGGTGTGTTCTTCACTTACTGACCGGTAGGTCGCTGACCCCATGCTGTTGACGATTTCCAATACGGATGAAACACCTATGCTTTTCAGTATTGACTGACTCCACTTTCAGTTGTAAACGATTTTGTACTCGGCAGAATGAACGTTGGGTCCGAGAGATTTTGTTTTGTCTAAAAATATTCTGTCATCCTGTAAACCGGTTGCAATAAGTGGCAACTGCTAATGAATAACGACAACTAGACTTCGACATGGCGAAAACAGGAATTTCGTCAACCGTGGAACAGGGCTGGGCGGAGGATTTCGGAAGTTATTCTACATATTCGAACTCGACGTCTTCATTGTAATTTCGGGGATAAACTTCAAATTGTGAAGCACTTGATTGCGGAGATAAGTTGCTCACAGCCTCCTGCTGTCCGATCCTCCACTGAAGAACTTTCGTGGAGTTTGAATGTAAAACGTTCCACAGCAATAAATCCACCGATTGTTTACCAAACCTCTAAAACGATGGCTACTCACTCGGTCCCAAACATTTCCCAAATGATTGCATCTGCGGACCATGTGTTCAGAAACTGCCAAGCGGATACGTTAGATTGGTGAGATTGGAGGCAAATTGGGAGAACCGTTGCGTTTTCAACATTAAATGCATGAAGAACAACATAATTCCCAAATCTCTGGTTGGTAAGCCACAAAGTTCCGTCCATCGCTTCTGCCCGATTTATCTTTTCAGTGGCCAAATCATTCCTCAAACAGGTGACCCAAAGTTTAATTGATGCCACTACCACGCATGTCGTTTCAACAATTATCTTCAGTCCGCACTCTCGCCCGCAGATTTCGAATTACTTGATACCAAAGCGAAAATAGCAAAATCAGCTCAAGGTAAACGGTGCAAAGACAAACAAATACGCAAGTTCGAGAATTGCTTTCCATTTCGAATTACTTGATACCAAAGCGAAAATAGCAAAATCAGCTCAAGGTAAACGGTGCAAAGACAAACAAATACGCAAGTTCGAGAAATTGCTTTCCACAACTCGCTGTTTCAGGAGACCAGTAGAAAAGAGTAAGCCATCTGCTAGCTATTCCAGTGTAGTCAACTTATCAGATGGGCCCTTAAGTGACGAAAAACGTTGTCTGTCATAGAAGGGATTGGATTTCGCTGTAAGAATCATAAGGGCAGAAAAGATTACTCCTAGTGTCGAGTCTGTGTTTCAAAGTGGTGAAGTTACGTATGCGGTTGATCACAGTCCCAAAGTCCAAGCAACCAGAGGTTCCAAACGTTGCACCAACGGAGCGAAGAGACTTAAACACACGAAAACATGTGGGCAGTATAGTAATTACAAGGGCCGACAAAAGACCACGGTCGTCGGGAATAAGAGTGACTATCTGCAGAAAGTCGGACAACACGTAGCTGATGGGCGTTACCGACACATCGATAACGCGACGATTACGTCAATAATGAATAAGAATCAGGTTGAATTTGGGAGGTATCTAAGCTCAGTGACATAACATCTGAGGTAAGGCAAGAAGTATCGGTTGTTCCGAAGAGGTGCAATCCAACCACGTCTTTTTAGTTTACAAAAAGTTCACAAGGAAAGTGTCCCCGTAAGACCAATAGTGGATAGCGTAAGCTCACCACCACACGAACTGGTCAGATTTCTGAGAGGTGTCCTTGAGCCACTTGCCTGCAAGTCACCCACGGATCCAAAATTCGTATGACTTCCCAGAAAGTAGCTGGTCCAGTTCCACAGGAAGAAGATAAAAAAGATACTTGATAGCCACCAACTAGAGATCAAATCACCATTAGTTTTCTTATCTAGAAGCCCAACCATTCCTACTCTGTCCGCTCATTCCTTTACGAAGGATTCCTGTGGATTGTTTTTTGTGTTATAGCTAGATGACGTCTTTGTTGGCTTTGATGTCAACTTGATGTTAAACAATGTCTTCAAAGCGGACGCTGTGGAAGTAGCGAGGAGGCTGTTACTGGCTGCAAGAACGAACACAACTCTCTGTAGACGAGATGGTTGATGGTATAAGAGTGTCCGAACTTCAGCCACTTTGTTTCTGACTCGATTATATATTCTCAAGAGCAAGACCCTGCCATGGGATCTCCACTATCCCTGACTTTTGCCAGCATGTACTTGGAAGACTTCGAATAAAAAGCCTCAGACGGATTCAAGTATTCACCAATGGTTTTCTGGCGTTACGTAGATTACCCGTTCGTTTTGATAATGCGGGATAAGGTTAACGGATTCTTTCAATATCTTAACGATTTGGACTCTCACATTAAGTTTAACATGGAGCTACAGCCAACATCAGGTACACGACCCTCTTTCGCTGCATGACCCACGAGAGTGGTGGGAGATTAAAAACCACTGTTTACCGAAAATCAAAAGACATTGGTGCGGTTTTAAACCTTCCTTTAGCACACCCAAAATAGTATATGCTCGTATAGTTTCAGTGGTGTTCAGTATTGTAAGGGCACTCTGCACAGAGGACAACCGAAAAGCATTAAGCTTGAGACTGAAAAGATAGATTTCAAGATAGCGAATACCGAGTGGGTTTAATTAAACAGCAACTAAGATGGGTATTGGTCCCAAGAAGAAGTGGGTCAGAATAGCGCTCATTCCCTACAAAACAGGGACACTAAAAGTCATCAAAAAAGGGTTGAATACAGCCAACATTAGAGTAGCATTCCGGAACGGAATGTTGACGCAGTTGAAGGTTCAACTTCCGGTCATCATCATCATCATCGAGAGCATGACATCAGTGTTCAACACCGATGCTTCAATGCCGTACAACCACGACTTATTTGAAAGCCTTATTATAAAGAAAAGAATAAAGGTGGATGGGGGAGGGACTTAGTGCTAGCTTAACACAATCATTCCGAGGTGCCTACACCTCCAGACATTCACTCAGGCAATCTGGACAGAAACTGACAACAAGAACGCCACTGACATCGGTTGGCAGCCATATCTTGTAGTGTCTCCAACCAGGCACAGTGAGGA